CCCGAGCAGCACACGACAGACGCCGTCCCAGAGGAAACAACCACTCGGGAACGGGAAGGTCGGGAATGTTCTCGGGGTTCCAGGGGCAGGACGCACAGAGGGTGTGCTCAGCGCCGACAGAGGGCGCTGCGCGACCCCGAAAGGAGGCGCCGAGGCGGGGGAGGCAGGCCCGAGAGGTAACTGGGGCTTCTCGGAATAGAAAACCGCACCGAGACCTTCCAGCAAGAAAGCAGCGAATCAAAACCGGAGTTCTTTTTTTTTTTAAAGATTTTATTTATTTATTTTTTAGAGAGGGAAGGGAGGCAGAGAGAGAGAGAAAGAAACATCCGTGTGCGGTTGCTGGGGGTCATGGCCTGTAACCCAGGCATGTGCCCTGAGTGGGGATCAAACCTGCGACACTGCACTTCGTTTCAAGGTGGAAAAAAAAAACCCCCAAATGCTAGTCCAGTCCTTGTCATGTATTAAACACCGAGTAAGGTTAATGTAAAGACTTGGGGAAAATAAATAGGACAGGGGATGCGGGACGTGGTGTATGTGCAGTGAAGACCTTGGTCAGGGAATGATGCCCTTTTATCTTTGCTCCTGATGGGAACCCAGGTCCTCTGGTCACGACAGCCTGCTTCGGGGCGGCCGCCTCCGGGACCAGCGGCGCTCGGGAGGACTCACGGCGGTCACCGACCGGTGCAGAGAGGCGAGCTCTGAAATTACTGCAAGGACAACCAGGACACCGTAGCCCCATCGGCACAGGTCAAGGGCATAGCTGTTGCACACCACACCGTACAGGGCGGAGAACACGGACTCTCTTTTCTCGGGGCTTTTAAAAAGAACGCACGAGTCTGTGATGCATGCGGCACTGCCGCCTGCAGCCAAGGTCTGACCCCTTGTTCTGTGACAGGTATTTCTGAAGAATGAAGGCGTAGACAGACTATCTGTGGTCGCTCTCCAGGGTACAGACTATGAACGGCAAGCCCAGGAATGCAGTCCCTCTAGCACACAACAGAGACACAGAAGACCTTGACCGCCTTCATGTTTTCAGCTCCACAGGCCGTATTTTATATCTGGGACCTTGCCCTTGGTGAGTTAAAATGAGGCTGAGAAGTAAGCCCAGCGTTTTAAAATCATTTCTCCTTAGCAGAGATGACTTCATGTTTAGTCTCTAGGCCCTGTGAGGAAGACCCGGAGGTTATTATATAACCGCAAATGTATCCAGTCATGCATTACCCTGCTTACGGATGCTTGTTTGTGTCTTCACATATTATCCAAGTGTTTTGTTATGTGTGTGTGTGTGTGTATATATTCCTCCACTCAGAAAGGACTCGGCAGCGTTCCTTTAAGTCAGGGGTGTCAAGCTCATTGTCACTGGGGGCCACATCAGCCTTGAGGTTGCCTTCCAAGGGCCGAATGTAATTTTAGGACTGTGTAAATGTAACTACTCCTTAAGTAGGGGCAAGGAGCTCCGCACTGCCGCCACGTAGAAACAAGGTGCCGGGCCGATAAAACAAGGTGGAGGGCCGGATTCGGCCCTCGGGCCTTGGGTGTGCCACCTGTGCTTTACGTAGTCCATTCTGGCCTGTTTCTGATGGGCAGGAAACACATGCCATGGGGAAAAAGCTCGTACCTGTATTCGTGACAACTGTTTTGCTTGCAAGATGCAAAACCTCAGTTCTAAGGAGCCTAAGAATATGGGGGGGCGGGTGCAGTGAGGGAGCGAGTCTGGGATGCTCCGAGCTGCACCCCCAGGCTCAGGAAGTGCCAGCACGCCTGGGACCTCGGCCTGACTCCCACCCCCCCAACTTCCTCCCTGTGTGCCCCCACCCCTACCCTGCTTCCCCGAATCTCTCCCCACCTGCCTCCTCCCCCCTCTCTGTAGGGGCCTTTATTTTCCGGGTGGCTCCCTGCATGAGGGGGCCTTCCTGAAGAACAGCCTGTGCTTTGCACTGAGACAGGAAGGGACGCAGCCTCTTTCTCCGTGTGTCCAGAAGGCAGGTTCCACCCAGCACAGGACGGCAGCGGAAACCCGAGGACTCCACGGCGCTCCCTGAACCCGGGAGCGGCTCCACTGGGCGCAGAGGCCCACCGACTGGCCCCATCCCTCAGTGCCCCGTGCAAACAGCACGGGTGTGCTCCCAGGGTGCCGGCCGCATCCCCCTGCCACCAGCCTGCAGGCCTCCAGGGTTTCCAGATCCCGGGGTCAGCTCGCAAGGCCCTGAGAGGTGGGGACACAGAGGGGGCTGGGGGTGTCGCCTCGGAAAGGACTGCACGTCCCACAACAGCGTGGACGTGTGTTAAGAGGCCAAGGTTGGGAAATAAAATGCCGCCATCTGGGGAGCAGACTGGAAGAAGGACCACAGTCAGAGACTCTGCAACGAGGTCCCGTCCTTGAGGCAGAGGTGAGGCCATACGGCCTACGTGATAAAATCTCACGGACAGAAGCCGGGACAAGGAAAGGGGCAGAGAGGCACGGACCTGGTTGGATGCCGGGTGCTCCTGTGGCTGCGTCCAGAACGGAGGGTCTCCTACTCTGCAGCTCAGTATGCGCAGCCAGGGCGGCTGTGCACGGCTTTGCAACTGCACGGCTTTGCTATTACACGTGCTCACGCCTCTCTGGTTACATACCTGCTCTCTGCCGGCCCACTAGACTGCATCCCGGGTGGGGAGGAACGGAATGCTTGTCAATTTTTGTCAATTTTGTACGCCCTGGAACAGCAGAGTGTCTGCGAGGCGATGGATACTGCCTAAACGTTTGATAAATGACCGCATAAACCAACCATTCCAAAACTAAATTACGAAAGAAAATAAAAAAGCAAAACCAGGCGAATAAATTATGGGAAAATGTTCTTATAGGGCAATTAAATTCTTGTACACTTGCATTCCAAGAGTAATTTACTTAAATCCAACATTCAAAATAAATATTTATTGATTATGTACTATACTCCCACTGTTGCTCTCGGTGCTGAGATTGCGAAGACAAACAAACGTGAATGAATTGAATATTCTTCTTTACCACAGGGAGCTGAAGTTTTTTAACAGTGGCATGAAAACACACGGAGTAGAAGGGGAAACAAGGAGTTTTTTTTTAATTTTTTAAGATTTTATTTATTTATTTTTAGAGAGGGAAGGGAGGGAGGGAGGGAGAAAGAGAGAGAGATATCAATGTGCAGTTGTGCGGTTGCTGGGGGTCATGGCCTGCAACCCAGGCATGTGCCCTGACTGGGAATCAAACCTGCAACACTTTGGTTTGCAGCCCGTGCTCAATCCACTGAGCTACGCCAGCCAGGGCAAGGAGAGTTTAAAAGACCATGGAACTCTCTGAAGCTCTGCCCTGAGACTTAAATTCAGTGAGCTCTCACTCACCAGCAAGTGTGGTGGGCTCGGGTGAACTTGTCCATCCTCTAGGCGAGGACCCTACGGTCACAGTGCCCGTTCAGGCTGCCCGGTTACACGCTCTCATCTCCTCCCGCGTTCCTCCCGCAGGGCGGGGATGCAGGGTGAAACCCCTCTGCCCGCACCACCCCAGGTTCTGGCTCTGTAGACTTGCTTCTCCTTCACCTCTGGATGCCTCATCGCTTTACACCACACCCGTCCAGGAGTCAGACCAAGGGTGCACACGTCAGTAGGCATAGCAACCCCTGGAGATGCTCTTACAATGCAGATGCTGCTTGGGATTGATGGGAGCCCTGGGATTCTTCCTTTGTGATCGGCTTCCTCTGCGGGAAGACCACGCTCTACCCATTTGGGGAATGAAGGAATGAAGCGCTTATCCTGGGCTTTCGTGATGGACACGTCAACGTCCCTTTGCCAAATTCTCGAGTTACTAAAGAGCTCGTAATGCCTTCGGGGTCAGCTATCTCAGAGGCTCTTTGTGGAAACGAAAAACAAAATTCCCACAGCACCCCATCCTGGGCCCTTGCCTGCAGCGCTGGAGGCCAGAGGCCAGGAGGCTGGCACCCCAAATGGGGGAGAAAGAAAAAGCCCGAGGTGAAGGCTATTTGGGGATCGCCCCCTTCCCGCGTTGCTTAAGACAACAGACAACCTTGCATTTTCCAGATTCTCTCCTGTGGCTTCAGGGAGAACTAAGTCTGTCCTTTAAAAAGGGGGACCTGCAAAACCTTCCATCACGGAGCCTGAGAATCCTGCGGGCTTGCTTTTGAGCATCAACCAGGCAATGCATTGCTTCTGGAGACAAAGAATTGGTCAGAGTCCATTGAATTGGGGCGGGCGCGTGAGCCGGCCTGGCCACCATTTACAGCTGCATCTAGAGTCCGCCCAGAGCCAGCAGTGCCACCGGGCTGTGTATGCAGGGGCGGGCTCCTTGCAGGAGCTTTCGCCCAACGCAGATTTTACCACCCCTTTTGGCAGCTGAGTCAGCAGGGAAGCTCAGAGAGATCATGCCACCCGCCCAAGGCTGACTGAGGACCTGAACACTACCCAAAGCCGTAGCCCGCCTTTCCGGGAACGCTTAGGTAAAAGACGTACGTAGGCCCTAAAAAGGGCCACGGTACCCAGGAACACTACCCAGCACCTGGAGCCCGCCCCCTGGGACGGCGGGACCGCCCTAGGGGCGGGGAAAAAGGAGGAGCCACTTGCGGAAAGCAGCCGCGAAGAGAAACAAGCACTTCCGGTGCACCGAAAGCGAGGGTCGTTCAGGGTCAACGGACTCGCACCGGAGGGCCGGCCCGCAGGTGGCGCTAAGCGGCCACAGGGACTAAAATGCATCCTCTGGTGTCCGAAAAATTCAGAGCTCCAGACTAGAGTCTTGATTCTTATCTACAGTCAGGGAGCACGCGGGGCCAAACGGCCCAACGCGTACCGCCATGATGGATCCAGTCCCTTAAATAGAGCAGGCAGGGCCTCGCGGACGCTCGCGTCGGCGCGAGGGCGTTTCCAGCCTGCGCGGTAGGCGGGCCCCATGGCGCGCGGCGAATGAGGTCCCGCCCTGATGGGCGGGGTCTCGTTGATTGACGGTCCGGCCCCGCCTTCCGGTTAAGGTGGGGGTGTTAGGGCGTTCAACACGGAAGTTTCTCAAGCCGGCAGGGGTAGGGCTGAGCGGGGCGCTGGTAGGGGCCGCGAGGGGCGGGCCTCGGCCCCCTAGAGGTAGCTCCGGCGACTGGAGCGTCGGTTCTGTCCTCCCCGGCCCCGTAATGGCGGGCACCTCCGTCCTGCGCCCCCACCCCAGGCCGCGGGTGGACGCTGGGCCCGCGTGGCCTGGGCGGGCCGCCCGGAGATTAAGCAGCCGTTTCCCCACTCGCTCAATCTGCAGCCATTAAACCAAAACCCGCGCTCGGCTGCAGTGGCTGAGCTTCGGCCCGCACAGACAGAGTGCAAAGGTTTGAGTCTCCTGAACTCCAAGGCCGGGCCAGGTGCCTGTTATGGTGACCCTGGACCTGGGGTCCTGGGGCTCCCCGAGGAAGCCGTACGGAGGGAGGACTAGGGAGCAGCGTCGCGGGGGCACGGTTTCGTGCAAGGGGGGAATCCCTGCCCTCCGAAGCTTGAGCACACAGTTTTATAGTTAGGTTTCTTACAGGTGTCACGTGGCGCGACTAACCTTTCTTGGAGCCTCCAGTGCCCTCGCCAGGCATGACCTCAGGTTGTCCTAGAAAATTTGGCTGTGAAATGTATTCTTGAATAATTAATTGCTCATTGCATTATTGAACAATTGTGGGCATTAGCTATTTTTTTTTTTTTAAGGAAAAGTGGGTGCTCCAAATGGAAATGAGAAGGGAGGGAGCGGGGACTTCCATTTGAAATTGACTGCTGCACTTGGAAAAACCAAATGTGTGACCCTTTTGGGATTTGCTACCGTCTAATGATTTTACCTTTCCACAGTCTTAGCACTTGCCACCAAAAGCTTCAAAAGGTCAAGAAAAAAATAGCAAATGCATTGCTGATCGGAGTTTATCCATCCGTCTCTTGCCAAGTAATTAAGTGCTTGATTGCATAATCTGATGAATAAATCCCATATTTATTCAGCAGCTTGCATAAGCTACTGAACAAATATGGGATGCTGTAACTTTTTTTTTTTAACATTGGGTCAAGGTGAGAGATGGGGGGACTTTTTTTGAAAGATTTGGGTGTTTAGGCTCTACCTGAAAATGCTGTGTTTAGGTTAAAGGATTATCTATTAATAATACAAAGGCTCAGGGTGATGATGAGCATACACTGTAGCAACTCACAGCTCTTCTGTTTTTCTCAGGCAGCCCGTTTGCAGGGTGGAATGAAGCACATCAACCTGTCCTTCGCGGGCTGTGGGTTTCTGGGCATTTACCACTTGGGGGCAGCGTCGGCCCTTTGCAAACACGGACAGAAACTGCTGCAGAACGTCAAGGCCTTCGCTGGCGCTTCCGCGGGATCCCTGGCTGCTTCGGTCCTGCTCACAGCCCCAGAAAAAATAGAGGTAATTCAGTATATGAACGAGGCCATGTTCCTCCCGCCAGAAACGAAGCCTGAACAGCAAAGGCGAACATTCACTCGGGGTTTACCCCAGACATAGGAGCCTTTGCCCAGGAAACAAAAGGTTAAAACTTTTGCAGTGTGATCCCTAGGGACCTGGGCTGGGGCTGTGGAAAAGATGATCATTAGGGGTGACAATGAGGCAGGAAACGTGATGCGTGATTTCACTCTGGAATGTTTGTTTCGTCTGAAGGTTCGAGCTCTGTGGCTTTCAAGGAAAGGATATTTCTTCACTCTCCCATCCAGGGTTTCTTATTCCGGGCTGTGAACGCGGGGCGGCTAACTCGGCTCCTTCCGAGTCCCATTATACATTCAGTGGGGGCCTGTCATTTCTATTAAGTGGAAAGATATTAGAATTTAATTTGTTTTTCATTCTCACAGTGCGCGGAAGCCTCGAATTCCAAGCAGTTTATCCAGCAGTAATAAAAACGAGCCTTCATTAAATATTTCATTGGATGCAATCTGTGTTTTAAAAATCTGTGTTCTGCTCCTAGGCATTGATTATGCATTTGCTGACTCTGAGAGCCCGGCTGTCTTGCGTAGGCAGAGCGTGTATTTGTTAACTCCTTCCACACCCAAGGGGCTCTGAATAGCAGTCCAATATTGATGAACACGTTCGTGCCTGAGAATGAACGTCAGGGACATTTAAATGTTCAAAAGCGCAGGTTACACAATAAAAATCTTGTTTTCAAATCTGTGCTGAGAGCTTCTAATTGGCTGAGGCCAATTATTGAAAAATCCACTTATCTTTTTTTTCTTCTTTTTTTAAAGATTTTATTTATTTATTTTTAGAGAGGGAAAGGAGGGAGAAAGAGAGAGAGAGAGAGAGAAACATCCATGTGCGGTTGCTGGGGGCCGTGGCCTGCAACCCAGGCATGTGCCCTGACTGGGAATCGAACCTGCGACGCTTTGGTTCACAGCCTGTGCTCAATCCCCTGAGCTACGCCAGCCAGGGCTATTTTATTTATTTTTTTACCATTTGCAACATACCGCTGGTAGGATGGCTTCGTGTTTCTTGAGCCAACTGTTTGCTGCCCACTCCAATCCCCGTGAGCCCTGTTCCTGCCTATGGCGTGTGGCGTGAGCTCCTGCGGCGTGGCGGGATTGTGACACATAGCAGCATAAGCGATCCAGCTCCAAGTGCGCGCATGCGTAATTCAGGGGGGCACCTGACGCGGGCGTATCTCTGGGCGCTAGGCGGATGGAGACGTTGCCAGGTAAAGAGCACAAGCCTTCCCTCGGCGTTCCTAATTTGCGAGCCACAGCGAGATGCAAGGGTGACCGAGCCTCTTCCTTAATACGTCTGCAGCGTGGGCAGGGCGTGTGCAAGGAAAGTTAATACAAGGCAACCGCCAGGTGCTGCCTGGCTTACAGGAAGGAGCGCGCGTGTTGTTTGGAGGGCGGCCGCACTTCTCACCTGGCAGCCTGCAGCAGCCGCTTCCTGACTGATGGGGGGCGGGCCGCATCCTCCTGCCAGCGCCTCCGCCCTGTAGCACTGCCGGCCGTTTCATCCTCACGCCAGGCTGGTGCTCTCCTGCCCCACCTGGCCCACCTGCCCCACCCGCCCCCCACACCCGGCTCCCGGTTCGCTCAGGACGGGGCCCCCCTCCCTGTGACCCCTGTGACTTAGGTGGCTCCTCGCTCTGGGACAATGATGCCTCCAGGGTGTCTGTCTGTCCTCTGTGGGGTGTTGTCGCTGGTCCAAGCACCTCAGTCTCCTGTGCTATTTTCGGGGGCAGCCTGGACGTCCGGTTGGAGGGACGGCTGGTTGGAGGGACGGCCGAGGTGCCCCGTGACATGGGAGGTCGGCGCCCATGGGATTCGCTTTCTGCTCCTGCCGCCGCAGACGACAGTGGCTTGCCACAGCACCTAGTGACTCTGTCATAGGTCTGGCAGTCACCTGTCTGGGGAGGGGTTGCTGAGCCAAGGTGGGAGGGTGAACAGGGGACCCACTGCCTGGTTCCTGCCTCTTCCAGCTTCTCTCGATGGGCACCCGTGCGCCCTGGTGGACGGCCACTTCCTCCAGCTGTGGCACTGTCACGTGGCATCTCCATATCTCTCCTCCCCTGAACCCCTGCTGCCTCCCTGTTTCCCTTCTAGAGCCCCTTGTGTGGTCGGCCCTGGGCCCGGCAGGGTCCCCCAGGACCCCCTCTCCATCTCGGGGTCCTGAACGTGTCACCTGCACAGAGTCCCCTTAGCCGCGGACGGTCCCATCTGTGCAGGCTCTGGGGGCGAGGATGGGGACCTCGTTGGACGGGGAGGGAACTGGGTTCGGCCTCACGGACAGGCCCTGCCCGAGGCCCGTGGGACCTCCTCACGGGGGGGGGGGGTCCCCTCAAGTCTCAGAGGGCGGGGCTGTCTGACGCTCGCTCCCTCCCGGTCCCCCTGCCTGGTGCCCGGGACGTGGCGGAACGACTCATGAGTAAAGGATAGTCCGGCCTGAGTTCAGATCCTGCTCGCGGCCCTCCTTTTTGCTGAGGTGTTAGGAAAGATGCTTAATCTCTTCAGGCCTCTTGGCTGGCCTGTCAGGCGGGCGAGCAGGTGAGGGCGCGTGGACAGAGGCCGAGCTCGTGGGCCCCAGTGTGCGGACCCCCAAAGACTGGCGTTGGCTGCGTGCGGAGGGCAGCCGTCTGCCGTCGGGACTCCTTCCTCTGACGCTGCTGCCGTCCTGAGCGACCGGAGCTGCTGCCAGGGCTGCGGAAGGGGGCGGGCGAGGAGGTTTGCGGTGTCCGGGAAGGCTGCGGGAGCGGTGCTCAACGCCAGTCACGGCCTTGGGAGATCCCCGGCTGTGGCCGTGCCATCGGAGGGGATTCCAAAAGGAAAAATAAAATAAAGGTCGCGTTGGTGAGAACACACTCTCGGTTCTCTCCGGTGGCTTGCGAGGGCCAGGCCAGGTGGGTGTTGGCGTGTGCGCGCCTGGGCAGGAAGGAGTCCGGCCTCCGATGACTCCGGCGTGGGGTTGGCAGGCTCCGGGGGCAGCGTGCGATCGGAACAGAGTTCTGGAAGCAGAATGAATTTTTTTTTAAGATTTTTTATTTATTTATTTTTAGAGAGGGAAGGGAGGGAGACAGAGAGAGAGAGAAGCATCAATGTGCGGCTGCTGGGGGCCGTGGCCTGCAACCCAGGCACGTGCCCTGACTGGGAATTGAACCTGCGACGCTTTGGTTTGCAGCCCGCGCTCCATCCACTGAGCTACGCCAGCCAGAGCAGAATGAATTTTTTTTTTTCATCAAAACGCAGAGTCACCTATTCCCTTTATTCTTCAGGAATGCAACGAGTTCACCTACCAGCTTGCTGAAGAAATCCGAGGGCAGTCCTTCGGGGCGGCGACCCCCGGCTACGATTTCATGGCCCGGCTGAGGTGTGTGTGCGCGCGCGCATATCGCCCACGGTCCGTGCCCCGCGGAGCGCGTGCAGGCCGGGCCGGGCTGAGGCCGCGCTGCCTGAACCGCGGCGAGCTCAGCCCGGCGGCCCTCCCGAGGCGTGCGGCAGCCCGAGGCGAGTGACGCGGGCCCCCCTGTCCCTCCCCAGGAGCGGGATGGAGTCGATCCTGCCCCCCGACGCCCACGAGCTGGCCCACCACCGGCTGCACGTGTCCATCACCAACACCAGGACCCGGGAGAACCTCCTGGTCTCCAGCTTCTCCTCCAGGGAGGACCTCATTCAGGTACCGCACTCCCGGTTCCGGGGCGAGGGCGGGTGCCGACGGAAATCCTTCCCGCGGCCGCTGGGCATCACCACACTTCCTAGACGCAGGGTGTCGTATCGTGAATGTGAATGAGGTCGGGGGGAGTGGGCCCCCGCCTGCAGACGCGCATCTGCAGCGGCCCCTGCGCCAGGTCGGCGTGTTCTCGTGGCGCTCAGCGCCCCCGCGTTTATTCCGGGAGGCGGGGCCCCCTGTGCAGGTCAGCAGCAGCACTACAGCAGTGCCCTGCGTCAGTCAGTGGGGCTGCTCACGGCAGTTTCGGGAAGACGCTGGACGTGGCCTGCGTTCTTGGGCCCTCCCCCGGTGCTGCTGTGAGTCAGGAGGGGCGGGTGCATCTGCTCCCTCGTGTGGCTTTTCGAAGGGAGAGACCCGGGTGGGGTGGAAGGGTTTTCGGGACAGACCCGAGGTCGTGCTCATCGCCAGTGGGAACGGGTTGTGGAACCCAGGTCTCAGCTCTTCAGTCTCCCGCGTTCCCTTTGGAGTGTTCCCTTTGGTTGCGAGGCCCTCCTTTCTGCCCAAACGCACTGGGGCGTTGCTTGGCTGAGAACCCGCTGTCTCTGCCAAGTTCTCGGGCCACTGACGCGCCAAGGCCCACGTGCGTGCTAAGGTAACGCGACGTTTTTGTCCGCCGAGAAGGGTGGTGTCTCCTTGCTTCTTCCCGCTGTGGGAGTCACAGCAGGCTGCCGGCGACACGGATGAGGCGTGTGTGGACACGGGACAAGGTGTGTGCATGGGGCTCGAAAGGTCCAAGCTCCACCCGGATTGGATGGGAATGCATCGGTTCTTACTGCTGGACCCTCCTGCGTGAATTTCCCTGTTCGAATGACATCACTCAAAACACCCAGTGAAATGTCAGGGGGACAAGGAGAGCTGCCTCGTGCTTTAGGAGACTAGAATATGGGCGCTTGGTGTCCTGCTGATGCCGGCCTCTCCCCAGGGCGTTCAAAGTCATGGCTACAGTGCTTCTGTCATCTCTTGCCAGCTTATGTAGACGTACACGCTAGGAAGGGGGGTGGCCAGTCCTGCCTGAGGGATCACAGACAGTCAGTGCCCAGACAGCGCCAGGAGGCTTCCCTCGTGGCGGAACCCTGCTTCTGGTGCGAGTGGCACCCAGCCCGGGGGCCCCCGGGCCCTAAAAGTAGGGGAGTCCCTTCCCCCTGGGCCTGGGCTTGGCCACCCTCTGGACAGCTGTTCTTATAACCCATCCCCATGTTCAGCCCAGTCCATACTTTGCAGCTTCATGTGCTTAGCGTCTGCTGTCCGTCTCCCCCCGCACAGAAGTGTAAGCTCCCCGGAGGCACAGAGGCAGAGGCGCCGTCTTGTGTCTGCTGCGGTGTCCCGGCCCCTCTGCGGTGGTGTCGCAGCCCCTGGCGAGGTGGCAGCCCCTCCAGTGCGTGTTCTGGAAAGGAACACACCCAAGTGAACACACGAGCCAAGGTGGCCGCCCCCCAGTAGTGTAACTCCACACCAGGAGACGAGCCCAGAGCCTGGACCCCCGCACACAGCCCCCAGCGGGCGGGCCGGCGGCCGGCCGGGCCTGCGCTCCAAGTCCCTGGCCGTGTGCGTGGCAGCACTGCGCGCCGGACAGGACGCCCTCCTGTCGGCTCCTCGTACGCGGGAACCTGTTTGCTGAGTGACGGCGGCCCCCAAAGCCGTCCACACCCCAGTCCCCGGCACCTGGGGACACGTCCCCGGACATGGCCAGCGGGATTTTGTAGGTGACATCATGTCTTCATACAAGACACGATCCTGGGTAGTCTGGGGGCACCCACCCACGCTGAGTCCTCCACCGCAGACCTGGCCTCCAGATCGCACGTCCCCTCGCCGGTTCTGAGACGTGGTGGCAGTGCCCACGGGAGGTGGGTGCACAGGCCTCTGGCCACTCTGGGGCACTCTCCCGGCCCCCCAGCAAGACACAGGGGCCTCCGTCCGGCAGGCGCCGGAGGGGCGCTGCTGCGGTGGGCGTGAGAAGGGCCCAGAGTGCCCCGCAGCGCCCAGGGAGGACGGCAGCCCCGCTGAGGCCCAGGGGGAGACCCCCGGCGGGCTGCAGCCTGCAGACGTCGCGGTCGCAGACGCCGCCGTTAGAGTCTCCCGGCTCCTGGTACTCCGTGACAGCAGCACCAGCGAACTCCCACCGTGAGTAAACACGACTTCCCCTGCGTCCCTTTGTCTCGGGGAATAGTAGCTGCTCGGAGAGTCGGTGTGATCGCTGGAGGTCACTGAGCGGGAGAGAAACAGCCGGCGCCGATGCGCGGTGCCTTGTGAGGAGGGCAATTGGGTAACGAGCGGTGATCCTGGGCTCCACAAGAAGCACTTTCCAGTGTTCCGTAGAGCACTCTCGCCTTGTTCAGAGCCCTCCGACCTTACTCAGAGCTGAGAGAGGGAAGGGCGCACGGTCCCTGGGCGGCAGGTGGTGGCTACAGAAACCTGAGACCTGTGCCCTAGAGCACGCCGAAGCACTGGGCTCAGGAGAGTGACGCTGGGCGGAGACCAGGCGCAGGGGAAAGAGAAGCAGGAGGGGACAGGAAATGACCCCCCCCACCCCCCTCGAGTGGTGACATTGTCAAGCTGACGTGCTCCTCCTCAACACGAGGCCAGCGGGAGCATGTGTCTGCAGGGACGTGGCCCGAGGACGGCCGTGCTGACCGTCCAGGCCGGGGCGGGGGGAGGAGAAAGCCACCAGCCGGCCCTTTACACCGTCAGGCGGAGCCAGGAGGGTCTGAGCTTGCACAGCCAAGAGGAGAGGCAGCTCACGAGGGGTGCCCTGAGTCTCTGGGGGACTTGGCACCCCTGCCCTGCACAGCGGCCTGGGGTGTACTTCCGTCTCTGGACAGTCTGCAGGTGAGATAGAAGTGGGGTGGGGGGGGAGAGAGGGAGAGAGAGGGAGAGAGGGAGAGGAAGGGAGAGAGAGGGAGAGGGAGAGAGAGACACACACACACACTGATGAAGATTAGGCCCACGTCGAGAAGGTCGGCCTGCACGGCAGCCAGCGAAGGGACTCGGGCAGGCCGTGAACCCGGCGGTGTGAATGACCCACTGCGTGTCACGTGCATTCCCATCATTAGCTCACATAGCTCGTGTGTCCCTCCCTCACTGCGAGGCTCCTCATCACCCACCAGCTGCTCCCTGGGCCGCTCATGACAGGCAGGGTGTGTGTGTGCCTGGAAATCCAACTAGAGTCCCGTCACGCCCAGTGTGTGTGCGTGTGTGTGTGTGTGTGTGTGCGGTAAGTCCCTTCTGGACGCTGTCTTGGATGGCTGCGTCCTGCCCGTCTCCCAGGGCTCACGTCCAGGCCCGTCACCGCCCGACGTCGGCCTCTGGGACTCACGCATGTCTCTCTTTCATGCCTCCCTCCTCCCCTTTGCTCCTGACCCCCGTGCTGACCCACGGCTGTCCGAGCTCAGCACGCGGAGTGCGACCCTGTCTGGCCACGTGCACTCGTTCGATCCGACGCCCCTTCCCCGCCGGCCTTCTTTCTCTAAGCTGGCTGATGGCTCATACTGAGAGGATAAGAACTGGCTTCACGTTGGGTGGCGTGACCAAAGTACCCTTCCGTTGGGTGGCCGCAGCGATAGCTGGGTGTTTTCTGACAACCCCAGCGGACCCCAGTGATGGGGTCCAAGACCCCTTTGGTGTGGGGCTGCGTCTCCGTAGCCTCCCGGAGCTCACGTGCACGGTGACAGCCCTGAGTGCTCTGGACGGGGGGGTTTGTTCCCTCCCGCACTCCTGCGTTGAAAACCAGTGGCCGGGAGATGGGGCTGGAAGCGGGGGGACCCCTGGGAGGCCCTGAGGTCGCGAGGATGGGGCCTCCGCCGTGGGCCAGGGCCCTCGTGAAAGAGAGCCCGAGAGCCGCATGCTTCCGGCACCTGAGGACACGGGGGACCTGGGTCTCAGTGGCCCCTGAGCCTGCCCGCCCCTTGACCTCAGCCTCCCGGCCTCCAGAACAGTGGGACGTAGGGGTCGGCTGTGCGCAACCACTCGGCCTTGGGCATCTCCCCCCAGCAGCCCGGAGGGCCTAAGGCAGGAGACGGGCACCGAGGGGCACGTGCTGCTGTCAGAAACGAGGGTGCAAGTGGCCTTGGCAGTGGGTGACGGGCAGCGGCCCAAAGACACGGGAGGTGCCTGCTGGGAAATCGCCCCGCAGCCGTCGACGGTGCTGGGGGGGGCGGGAAGAGAGGAGGGCGGGAGAGCGCTGCCACCCGTTGGGACAATGCCGACTGGTCCTCGGTGTCACGGTGGTGGGAGATGGACGCTCAGGGCCGTGCATTCCCATGGGGTCCCAGAGGGCACCGAGGAGACGTTTCAGACAGTGGAGAACGTGCCATCCGTGATTTTTTTTTAAGATTTTATTTATTTTTAGAGAGGGAAGAGAGGGAGACAGAGAGACACAGGGAGAGAGAAAGAGAAACATCCATGTGCGGTTGCTGGGGGCCGTGGCCTGCAACCCAGGCCTGTGCCCTGACTGGGAATCGAACCTGCGACGTTTTGGTTCGCAGCCCGCGCTCAGTCCACTGAGCTACGCCAGCCAGGGCTCCATCCGTGTTTTATGTCAGCAAAAACACAGCCGAATCGTGTTCCATCCCAGCCTGCTGTGGAAGGCCAGGTTGGCGAGACGGGAAATGGGACGTTTGAGGAGGCCGTTTGTAAGCAGAGTCGAAGGAGAGGTTTCTCTTGGCTGCTTACGGCAGAAATGCAAGAAGAGCGACTGGCTTAGAGACGGAATGAACGGTTCGTCCACAGCGAGGCAGAGTGTACAGATCTGGAGCACTCTTCGGCCCGTCCTTCTGGAAGAGAACGAGAGAGCTTGTTCAGAACGGAGCAGGAGGAGTGTGGCCATGTGGCCACGTCACCGTCGGCTGAGGGGCTGCGTCCACCCCCTCCCCAGAGCAGGATGTGCTGTCCCGGACGATGGGAGGATGGCCCAGGCATCTGGAACCTGTGGGGCAGCCCCTCCCAGCACTGGGCCACTGCGGACACCCCCACTAGAGCGATGCCCAGCAGAGCCGTGAGGCTGGGCCACCCCGACGCCCCAGAACCCTGGACCGGACCGCAGCGGCGTGCCCTGGCTGCAGTCTCGGGGCCTCAGGCAGCACAGCCCCACGCAGGGCCCAGTACTCCCCACGGGCCCGTCCTCCTTTCTTTACCTCCGCACCCGTCATGCATTGTGCCCTGAAGGGTCCACAGATCAACTCGTCTGTGTTCAGTTCCCGCTCCCATTCTGGGCTATTTGGGTTTTTTCCCAGAAGCAAAGGTGACATCAGGAGACCCTAGCACATTTCAGCATTCGTCTTCGACAGGGCGTCGTCAGGGAGGCCGACCTTTGTCTCAGATGGCCATGCGTCGCCTCCACCGCCGAGCACAGTGACTTTGAAAGGCGCCACGCTCGCGTGGTGTGGACCCCCGCGTGTGCGGTTCGGTGCAGACCACCGAATTGTCCACGTTCCAGGTTGCTGCCACGTGTGGGCTGGAACCGTCCCTCGGCAGTCGCGCAGCCTCTCGGACCTGTGCGCCCAGGGGCTTTCCCGCTGCACGGGTCCCTCTCGCCGTGAGGAAGCGCCCTGTCCCTGTGGCTGAAGGTCCTCGAGCAGCACGACCTGCCGCTCTGCTGCCGGAGGGTGATGCGGGGACAGAGTTTCAGGTGGCTCGTCATCTCGGGCAGGCTGCGGAAGAGAAATTTGGATCTGTCCCCGCGTGCCAGCCACGCCAGCAGGCTGCGCACGAGCAGCCAGATTCTCCTGCGGCGACTCCGCAGCAAACTGGAGGTGCAGCCGACACCGGGCGGGAGTTCATTCTCCGAGGAGGCCAGGCCGCCTGCTTTTCCGCACAGCCCCGCTCTGTAAAACGTGCGGCCAAGACAGCCCGTCAGGATGTGCCCTGTAGACGCCCTTGGCCGTGCCTTACACGGTCGCTCCAGGCAGTCACTCAGTTTTATGTCCATCCTGGGGCCTTCAGTAGGGATGAAAAACAGAACCCCAGTCCGTGGTTGCACATGTGGGCAGTGCCCAACGCGCTGGCCCCGGGGATGAGGCCTGCGAGGCCCGTCCCTGATCTCTGCGTCCGCGTCCTCCACCTGGACCTGGGTACGTGTCCCCGGGGGAGGGCGGGGGCTCAGGCACCAGACCTGGGTACGTGCTCACGGAGGACCCCTGCTCTGGACGTGCTGAGATGTCGTGGGGGAGCAAGCCCACTGGGCAGACGATGACGTAGGACAGCGGACAGCACGGGCTGGGGGGTCACACTGTGTCGAGGGGCCCTGGGAGGCCAGTCCCCCTCCCCTTCCGTAGAGAAGGCGGCCGTGAGCACACTGTGCGTGAGGGAGGCCGTCTGGTTCTTCCGCACGGACAGCCAGTTTCCCCTGCGAGCGCGCTCCGATACACAAACCGACGGCCGTTACCAGGGGAGGCTGGGCAGGGACGGAAGCGGGGCACTGACTCGGAGCGGACAGGTGGGTCCCTTCCCGGCGTCCTTCCCGTCGTTTAGGAGGGCTCCTGCCGTCACCACCTGCGGGAGCGTCACGGCGTAGCGTCTTCATGCGCCCGCCTCAGAAGAGCCCCGAGCAGTGACCTGTGGTCCTGACGTTACACTTTAACACAAGGAAAAGAAAATAAACTGCTTAGTTCCGGCTCTGTGGGGAGGGATTTTTTGTTTCAGGTAGGGCACATGTCTGCGTGCGGCGTGGAGAAATACATCGTTGTATTTATAGAGCGCTGGTTCTTCCAGGGCCTCTCAGTACGGTGAGTTCACAGTGGGTACGCTGCCGGCCCGTCTTCCTGCACCCAGCGTGCCCGCAGCAACGTGGGGGGGTCACCGCCGCTCCTCCCACCGTTGAGCTGGGGTGGGGGGCGCCAGGTGTCTTCACCCCCCACGGAGAAGGGAGACCCTGGCTGGTGCTGAGTCCCGCCCCGTGGGGGATTCGGCCCGTGGGTGCAGAGACGCACACCCTTTCCTGTGCGTGGGCTTTGGTGGTGAGGAGCCAGGACATGGGCAGTGGGCGGGGGGGCCTGTGCCCAGGAGCCGACCCCGCTGAGCTCTGGCACACGCTGCCGAAGGCGGTGGGCTCCCGCTGTGTCAGGGTGGCTTTTCCCGTGGCGATCGCGTCACGCCGGGGACTGGCTCACCTTGCGCGCAGGAAACAGCCTTTGACAGCAGAGCTCAGAGCGCCCTCCGAGGTCTCGGTCCTTCTGAACAAGCGATTCACGCGTCCGCTCGGGGCCACGATGCATCTGCGAAGATGCCGGGAGGAAGACGCCCCTCAGTCAGGAACTCCGACCGCACACGGCCACAGAGCCCTCGCTTACCTGTGGAAAGACTGTGGCTCACATGCGCAGTTTTCCAGCCCGAACGGCAGCCACACTGCAACGTGGCGCGGGTCCCCGTGGGGAAAGCCCCCGGAGCCCAACCCTGCAGGGAGAAAGGGTCCCGTCGGAACCGAAGGCTTTGCCACCTCTGTCCAGGCAAGATGAAGAACCAGTCCTGCCCCTGCCAGGCTCCGCCTCCTGAGGTCCCCGGGCCCCGCCCCCACACAGAACTTCTGCAGCGTCCTGGTGGCATAAAGCAGCCCGCCCCCGAGCCGCTGGTTCCTGGGACAAGCACAGGGCTGTCCCTCCGGAAAACAGGACCGCGACCCTGAGATCGTTTCGACAGCGTGCGAGAGAACGCCAGGAATAATGCCTCTTTCGCGCCCACCCGGCCGTACTCTAGAATTGAGACTTACCTGGACTTTTCCTCTGGACCCGACCGTGCCGACTTTCCTCCGGGGAAGTCAGTAGTGGGGTCGCGGGACACACGGAACGGTCCACGGCCTTTGCAGGGGCCCACGGCTGCCGCCTGTGTCAGCGCGTCCCACTGTGCCCTTGGCATACACGGGGCTCGGGGAAAGGCGACGGCAGTGTGCTTCGTGGTTTACGGGGTGCAGAATCTTGCGGTGCGTAGTCTGTCGTCGGGGGTGAGGGGCTCTGCTCACCGGCTGCTTCTCCGTGTCTCCCGCAGGTCCTGCTGGCGAGCAGCTTCATCCCGGTGTACGCGGGGCTGCGGCCGGTGGAGTACCGAGGGCAGGTAACCTCCTCGCGCCCGGCGTGCGGTCAGTGGCCGCCGCGTGCGCACGTGCCCTTCCAGAGTCCACTCGCGTCCTGCTCCGTGCCGGCGGCTGGCCGCCACTCAGGGCACAGGGGTTCTCTCGCCAACAGCCCGGTTTCCGTGCACAGAAAACAGAAATCCGGCATGGCGGCTGTAGCCCCCGATTCTCAACAGCTCACGGTCGGCACTGCCTGGGCTGCCCCCTTTTGACATCGGATTTCAAGTCTATCTTTTTTTTAACGGAGCAAAAGACTTTCTTCCTAAAAGTGTCTTAGACACGGTCCCTTCTGTAGTGAAAGGCCAGACGCAGGACTGCGCTGCCAGGGCAGGAAAGGCATCGGGGCACGCACACCCGCTCCCCCCAAACCCCCCCCCCCCACCCCCGCAAACCCCCCCCCCCGGGCCCTGCTGCGCAGCCAGCCCCCCTCCGCCTCCCTGCACTGACCAGTGGGTTTCGAGCAGGGCGGATGCGGAGACCCCTCTTCAGGCAGGGCTGCCGCTTACGGAGGGAGGGAGGGAGGGAGGCCCGGGTGGCCAGACGGGGTCAAGGGCGGCAGCCCCCGCGGGCAGCTGTCAGCGCCGCCCAAGGGGGCCCGGCCAGCTCCCTGGGCGCCCCACACCCCGTGTGTGCTCTGTGCTCACCGTCGCCCTGCGCCAGCTGCTCCGGGCGTGCACGCCTGTGGGGTCGGATACAGCGTCTGTCACACCCGGGCCAGAGGTGTGCCACACGCACCAGACAGGCGCCTCCTGGCCTCAAGTGCAGCACGGGGCGTGGAGCAGAGGGACACACCGGGTAACCAAACTCAGTCTCTATCTCACACATCGGAGGGATACATTCACCGCCAGACACTGTCCGTGGAGCACGTGCCAGAGTTTCATATTTACACGAAACAGATTTAGCATCTCGTTAGCACATATGCAGACAGGCACATACTGCTCATGAAGCAGTACCATTTGTGGTATGCGTCCACAGTATGTATTTATCCCCAAATTCATGCCTGACGAGTGTCGACTCCCTGCCATTCACGCCCTTCAGGGTCCGGCAGAGCGTCCCTGCTGGAGGGAGGAGCTCACGGCTCACAGGCCCAGAGCCTGTGTTCACACCCCCCTCACTGACAGGCCCCAGGGGTTGTCCCTCCCTGAGCGGGTCTTGTCATGGCTGGCGGGTTTCTCTCTGGGCTCTCCCGGCCCTTCCAGGCTGCGTCTGTGCTCTCTGCTCTGCCTGGGCTCTCCCGGCCTTTCCAGGCTGTCTGTGCTCTCTGCTCTGTCTGTGCTCTCCCGGCCCTTCCAGGCTGTGTCTGTGCTCTCCCGGCCCTTCCAGGCTGTGTCTGTGCTCTCTGCTCTGCCTGGGCTCTCCTGGCCCTTCCAGGCTATGTCTGTGCTCTCTGCTCTGCCTGGGCTCTCCTGGCCTTTCCAGGCTGTCTGTGCTCTCTGCTCTGCCTGGGCTCTCCTGGCCCTTCCAGGCTGCGTCTGTGCTCTCTGCTCTGTCTGGGACGGTTGGGCCACAGCTCGGCGCGTGCCCTGGCCGGACACGGAACCCATGACACTTTGGGGGCTCTGGCAGGCACTCCCACACACGGAGCACCTGGCCGGGGCGACTGCTTCTACTGTTAACTTGGAGATTGGTGAACATTTGTCACCATGATTGCCATCTCCAATTGGATCTTTGTGCTAGAGCTGCCGGGATGTGCGGTGTGGGGGCAGTCACACAGCTCCTGTCACTCAGGGGTGCATGCACCACCCTGAGGGGCCGCGCTGGGGCACGGGGCAGCCACGGGGCTTGATGAAACGTTCTATGCACATTTCATCAAGCCCCCCCAGCCCCGGAAAGCTGTGCCTGTCCCTCGTCATTAATCCAATCAGGGCAAGCTCACAAGAGCCAACACAATTTGGAAAACTGATTTCCTGCAAGAGCAGTCCTCAGCCCTGCAGGACACCGGAACACTCCGCCCCTCGGCAGCCCGGGTCGCCTCTCGTCCTCGAGTGGGAGAGGCCAGGTGCGCCCCGACCTAGGTTCCATGACAACGCAGGGTGCGCGTGTGCACCTCCCCTCGCCGAGCTCCACACTGGTGCCGCGTCCTGTGGGGTGAGAGGTGCGGGGGAGCGTGTGACCGGGAAATGGGGAAGGGGCCTCTTGCCCCGCACCCCCCGCCCCAGGTATGAGCTAGTCCCAGGAATTGGTGTCCACGCCCCAAGCAATCAGAAAACAAAAAACAGGATAAAAAAAAAAACAGGAAAAGCAGCTCTGGTGCAAGAAGGCACAGAAGCAGAGGATCTGGGTTCTCCTCATTTGTTGCAAACCCCTTTTTGCTCCCACTCTGTTGACATGGTCACATGCACCCACCCACGCAAGCCTGTGTTCACACAGACTCCATCGGCAGAACCGTGCGAACATGGGTGTGTTCAGTACACACACACACACACACACACACAGGAATAGGAGTGTCTGTGTAATACTTGTAACCACATCATAATGGGCATTCTGTTCTTTTTAAAAACACTGACAGCATACAAATGATCCAGGTCAGGTTCATCTTCAGCTAATCTCCCCAGGTTTTCTCCTCCACAATGCAGTGCCCTCCAAACCTTTTTTTTTTTTTTCCAACACGTCTTCACTATTTATCTCCCTGTAGGGAGCTGGTGGCTGGCCAAGGCCACGGTAGACAATGTAGTCCTGGCCCTTCAGTCCCCGGACTTAGAAATAAGAACAAGTAAAAAAGACATTTATAAAGAGAGAGAGAGAAGGAGGCCTTACGAAAAGGGAATGAGCTTTTCTGAGCTCAGAACACTGGATCCAACCCCATGTCTGCCTCCGAGCTCCTCCTGTGGGCCGAGCAGCCGGGCCGGGCCCGCCTACATCCTGTTTCCGACATCCGCCTGGCCCTGGGAACACGGTCTGCTCTGCAGAGGTCTCTTGGGGCCGGGCTTTCAGCCGGTCCCAGACCCTGTTTTTCGTTTGTTTGTTTGTTTGGCTTATCAACGGAAGGGTCTTTCCCATGAGGGAGAGAACGAGGGGACCTTGAACTTGAGTCTTGTGGGTGTGCTCATGGACCGTCAGAACCGAGCGTGTTAACACGTCAGCTCGGGGACGGGTCGGGACTCTGTCGCCTTGCAGAGGTAGCGTAAGGAATGTTGGGTTTCTTCGGCTGTCCTTCGTCAGCACACGGCGCTGCGGAAGCCTCTAGAAGCTTCTCTCAGCTGCGGTGCGGCCCCGTCTCCTTCGGGCACGGTCTGGAAGCACAGAGTGTCTTCTGAGCAGTGTCCGTGTCTCAAGGAGCACGTCCCATTCACCTTGGCCCACAGTCTCCCGTGCCCGGGGATCACTTTGGAAGCGACAGGATTCCCGGTGGCTCTGTGTCAGTTCCCGACAGGAAATGCCGCCTTCCCGTTCTCACAGTAAACACGACGGGTGCCCTGGGGGTGGGTGGGTGGTCCACTGTTGGACGTGAACTTGACTCTGCACTTGGGTCACAGAATGCGGCCCAAGCGGAGGACGCATCACTCCTGATGCACGCACCGTCCTCGGTAAAAACCGAGGTCCGCCTTATTGGGCCTGATTGAGGTAAAGATGGGCTGGACAGTTGGGTCGGTCCCCCGTTCCGCCACGTTCTTACTGTGTGGGTGCGGGCCATGGGCACGCACATGCCTTTTGCTTGGAAAACAAAACTGCTGCTGGATCAGCCCCGGTAAATGGTGCTTAAAGACCTTCTCCAGGGCGGGGGTCGCAGGGGAAGCCGAGAGCCCTTCCCGGTGTTCACGGGGCTCCCTGTCTCTGCAGAAGTGGGCCGACGGCGGCTTCACCAACAGCCTCCCCATCCTGCCCGCGGGCCGCACCGTGACCGTCTCGCCCTTCAGCGGGCGGCTGGACATCTCCCCGCAGGACAGGGGGCGGCTGGACCTCTACGTCAACGTCAGCAACCAGGACATCGTGGTGAGTGTGCGTGTCCGCGGACATTCGGAGAGCTGGACGTGCCTCGGCGTCTCCTCAGGCCCGCACGGCTCTGCGAGCCCATGGGTAACTTCACGTACAAATGGCAACTTGCCAGCAGTGTGTCTCGTAACACCGCACAGCGTGCCTCACGCGCACAGACCCGCGTGCCTGCAGGCCGTGGGCGTGTCACTCCTTGACCGTGTAGCGGCTGCCTGTTGGGGAGGTGCTTTCTCCTCCTCCACTTCCCGCTCACGTCCATGAACTTGGCAGGATTCCAGGGAGACGTGACGGGAGACCATGTCTTTCTTTACAAGGTGGCCGTCATCAGGTGTACAGAACTATGGGAGAGAACCTTTGGGTCTCCACTGAGTCATTTCCGTGGAAACGTTCATTCCTTACTCCGGCTGCCGACAGGGGGTGCTGTTGTAAGCAGGAGCCGTCCGCCACAGTGTGCAGACAGGGGTGGCCATCACGTCGGGGATGTGCCCCTGGCACCTGGCAGGGGAGACCCGGGGTGCTGCTCCGCACCCCACAGTGCCCAGGGGGGACCCCCGCCCAAAGAGGCATCGGGCCCAGAACATCGATCGCACCGAGGCCGAGAAGTGGGCGGTGTCCGCTAGTTGGTGGGTGGCGTTAACGGTTCAGGTTTAGTAGCGTTTTCCTCCTGGCGCTTGCTTTGCCACCGACCACGCCGGTGGGGGGGAGCTCAGGCCACGGAAGACACTTGCACTGACTGACCGGTCACAGCCTACAGCGCCCCTGTCTTTCTGTCCTAGCTGTCCGTGGCCAACCTGGTGCGGCTGCAGCAGGCCCTGTTTCCCCCGGGCAGGAGGAAGCTGCAGGGCCTGCACCAGCGCGGCTTCGCCGACGCCGTCCGGTTCCTGCGGAAGGAGGACTGGTTCGAAGACCGTGCCTGAGCGTCTGTCTGGGCGGCCACACCCGGCTGGGACGGTGTGCGCGGGGGCTGGCCGTGAGAGAACTAGTTCCCCGGTGTCAGACGTCCGGCCAGTCTGTCCGCTGTCTCAGCACTCGTCATGGTTTTCATTAGTTCCGTGTTTCCTGGCTGCCGGGACACGAGGGCGGTTTACGAGCGTGGGGCCGTGCCGTCGGGGCACAGCTCAGGGACAGAACGGGGGCAGGTAAGCCGCTGCAAGGCGTGAAGAGCCAGGCCGGCCGGGGCGTCTCGGACACAGGCACCGGACCCGGCACACACTTGTGTGATCTGGTCGCACCACGCCAGCCTGAGGCCAGCTCTCCCGTGGCCTGAGCGCCCGGCCTGCCCCGCCCCTCGGCGGACTCGTGCGTGGGGTCCACACTGACTCACGTGCACCGGCTCGGATTTTCATTCTGTGTTTGTCGGGCTCTGCCAGCAAGCACGACGTGTGAATGACGAGGAAGCACTTAGAAGCAAGCCCGTTTTTCATCTCACGCCCTCTGTTGTTTTACCACTGGAACCTAGGCCTTACGTCAGTTTTCTGGTTGCTAACAGCGCCCCCCCCCACACATTCAAAAGTGTGGGCAGGGAAACCCCACCACTGCCTCCTTCCTCGGGGGTCACGCTCAGACTCACGGCAGGGCAGCGGCGAGGCTGGGCGTGTGTAAGCCTTCCCGCTCTAGCACCGCGGCTAAAACGTCCTGTGCTCTAGCCTGGCTGGGGCGGCTCAGGGCGCCGAGCACCAGACTGGGGACCAGAGGGTTCGATTCCCAGTCCCGGCACGTGCCTGGGTTGTGGGCCAGGTCCCTGTTGGGGGGCGTGCGAGAGGCAACCACACAGGGATGTTTCGCTCCCTCTCTTTCTCCTTCCGTTCCCCTTTTTGTAAAGACAAATAAATAAAATATTTTTTAAATTTTCAAAAAATAAAACAAATTTCCTGTGTTGTTTCCCTGAGAGCCATGAACTCGAGGGGTTGTCTCTTCATCGTCCAGTCTGTTTACTCCCCAATAGGGCAGCCCTGGTCATGGCACGTGAGCGTGCTGCTTCTGTGAGGGTTGGATACACTCTGGGTGGGCGCCTCCCCGAGCACACACACACCTCCACGCGTTGGGCCCGTTAAAAGCAGTTGCTCCCCACAGCATGCCCCTTTCAGCACGCTGGTGCTGTGTGGCTTCCTTGCAGGACCTTGTACGGCCGTGGACAGGCGCGTCTGCTGGGCAGCAGGCTTCTCGCGTGGGGAGATGGGGCCGTGTCTGGGCGTGCCCCGCAGCCGCGGCGTTCTGTGGGGCTGTGCCCAGTCCTCGCGGGAGGCCAGTCCGCGCTGGCTGCTCCGTGCTGCTCTGACCGCGGGTGTCCTCACGCTCCTGCACCGGTGGCCGGCAGGCCCTCCCAGCAGGCTGTGCTGTCTCTCTCCCGGCGACCAGCCCTCGGCGGGGCGCTGTGGCCCCGGTGTGTGGACCGGCGGGAGAAGCGTCCTCACCCAGGTCCCGGGGGGTTGGCGGGGTCCTCACGGGGCCCATAGGCGGCTCAGTGCCCAGCGCCCTGTGGGGGCCATTTCCTGACGTCCTTGAATCCGTGATTAACAATTTCATGCATCATTTTTGTTCTCTTTTTTTCCCCAACGGCACTCTTTACCTTGTAACTATGGTAACCCACGGCTTCCCTTGACCATTGGAGAACACAGATTTGGTGTTAAAGCTATACCATGAAAGAGCATGCACGCAGTATTCAAAAACCAAAGCTTTTGCGTGCAAGGTCCACCACGCTGGACGTAGCCCGTGTGTGTCGGAAGCTCGCGAAGGCCCAGCAGCCCGGCTCCGGGCAGGGCACAGCGACTCCGGATGGACACGCGCACTCGGAGTGGCCGGCTCTCAGCGAGCCGGCTCCTCACTCGCTCCTGCTGACTCGGGCTGGGGCGGAGGACGCCACGGAACACAGATGCGAGATGCCACGTGACGTGAGCCTCACTCACATGTGCCACGAGCCAGGGTCACCCCACGAAACTGCTCTCTAAAACGTGCGTGGAGTGACTTCCCTTCTGTATGTACAACTACTCATCACACAGAGGATTCAGACCCCTGGTCGTCACGGTGCCGGAGCCAGCCACTCGGGAAGCTTGGGGTTCCTGGGGGTTCTCGCCGGGGCCGTGTCTACACCCGAGCAAAACAGAGCTGACAGTCGTGGGTCCTTATCCACGTGACTCAGGTGGGAGGGAGAACCACAGGTGCCCATCGGGAAAACAGCGGCCGTAACGGCCGTTACTGACATGACCGTTTGCGGAGCGCCGTGCACGCGGCCGCGTCTGCCGCGGAATTGCTGAGCTCCGCTGTTCGCCCTGCCTCTGGGACTGGGATGGAATGTGGAACGTCGCTCGCTCCACGCTAACACACGTGTGTGAGCCTTCCTCTCCTGTGTCCCCGCAGGGCAGTGCCCCCTGCTCTGGACTGGCACGAGAAAACACGTCCCTCGGTCCCCTCCGCGCCCCAGAGAGCGTTTCTGACCACGCAGCCCCGCGCCATTCTTAAATGATAGCACGCCCGCCTTCACCTCGAAATAGGCAGCTTTCTCAACCCCGTGCGTGTGGCCAGCGTACTGACACACGCGAGGGCGTAGAGGTAGGCACGGCACCTGCCTCTGGTCGCGCCGGCGGCCAGGTTGCGAGGGGGACGTGGGAAGGTCTGGGACAGGACCACGGGCGCCCGGCCAGGGTGAGGCACTTCCTGTCCGGTGCTGAGCTTCAGCCGCTGTCTGGGCGGAGAGCTGCTGGTGTGTGTGTGTGTGTGTGTGTGTGTGTGTGTGTGTGTGTGCGTGCTGTCTGAAGGCACCGGAGAGCACTGTGTGCCCTTGACTTTCCTAGCAAACGCACATCCGAACTCCGTTCCCACAGGAGGAAACGGCGTCTGAGTCAGCAGCTGGCCGCAGGCGGTCGGTCACTCCCGGTCCAGTGACGACGAGAGTCCCCTCTCCACCACCAGCAGTCCAGTCCCTTCAGCCGTTTGCTTCGCCATGAAAGCTGAAGACTTTCTAGACTAGTACCAGCGTGTATGTTACGGTGTTACCATACCCAGTTTTGCAGACTTATCGTTTTACCAGATTATAAACAATCAAACCGTGCCGTCACCTGGGCTGGCCACCTGCCTTGCCCGGGGAGCAGCGTCGGAGCCCCGCCCCCGGCCTCCGCCAGCTGCGCCTTCCCAAGCAGCTGCCTCCCGTGCCGTGCACACACTCAGACAGACGGGGCGTTTGGAATAAAGAGAGAGACTCTAACCTACGCTTCCCATTCCCATTGTCTAGTTCTCCCCGAATAACCCGCGGCTGTCAGTAGAAGGTTAGTTAGGGGAGGACAGGCACGGAAAAGCGGAACCCACTTTTATCGATGGCATGTAACAGAAGGCGACAGCCGACCCATAGGGGACAAAGCAGAACTAACACAAAGCGCTGAGTCACGAGACGCGGGTATTAACATGCATGTCAGCCTTAGTTTTGCGCACGCTAAGGTTTCTGCGTTGTAACAGGGTTTGTATAAAGATGTGTCCTCATTAGCTGCACAAAGACCCCTATTGAAAGCTCTGCTCACGTTCCGCAGATGTTTCTTCCCCGTTCACCCTTCGTGACACCAGGGTATCTGAGACTATAGTCACAGAAACGTGTTCCTGGAGTTTTGTAAAGGGAAGAGCCACTCCCCCGCACCCACCGCCACATTCACCTTCCGCGTGCAACGCATTTCCAGACCGTCATTGTTTGGGTTGCAGTATTTCCCCCTCGGGGTGGTTTTGAGGATGGAGAGTTTTCTGAGCCGGATGAAGTGTCACCTGTTAGTTTCAGGTGAGTTCTCGTCTTCCACACGAGACTAAAAAGTATGCATCTAAATACAAATACCAACACATTCACAAAACATAAAGAAAGCCCCTCCAACCAGCAGCCACAAGTTTTCAGCGGGCAGCACTCAATGCCCACCTGTCTTCCTGCTACAAAGCGGACTTTGAAAAGTAGGTGTTTTCATTGAAAACAGTACAGGCAGGTGGGAAAACAAGTATAAGTACGTGAAAAAGCAAAGTTTTTTTTTGTTACCATATACAATAATCTGTTTTTCTTTTACCAAATTCCTTCTCGAGCAGGGGTGTTAGTTTGGGAGCCCCAGAGGGAGGACCGCCACCCGCATTTAACGAACACGGAGCCGCGCCCGCCCACCATCTCCTCAGCCCTGCTCGTCTGAGTCCGTATTTGCGACTTTGGAAAGCAGGAGGAACCCCTGGAAGTTTCCAGCTCTCTGCCGTGTCGGGGTCTCTCATCCGGCACAGGTGGTGCTCCCTGTCTGCTGCGGTCTCGTGGGGTGACCAGGTGACCCCAGGATCAGAGCGGACGGGTCCGGAGAAAGGGGACTTCCTGGGGCGTTCTGCGGGGCCTAAATTCCAGACCCACAGCTCCCTGCGAAATGGAACGGAGTGTACGGCATCTCGTGGACATAGGCTGCAATGAGTTGTGTTACATGTTCTTAAATTGCCAGTGAAACTGTGGAGCTGACCTAGTGGTCTGGAGCGTGGTGAGGCCATTTGGGGGGGATCTTTTTTTTTAAGATTTTTATTTATTTATTTTCAGAGAGGGAAGGGAGGGAGAAAGGGAGAAAGAGAGAAAGAGAGAAACATCCATGTGCGGTTGCTGGGGGCCGTGGCCTGCAACCCAGGCATGTGCCCTGACTGGGAATCGAACCTGCGACGCTTTGGTTCACAGCCCGTGCTCCATCCACTGAGCTACGCCAGCCAGGGGCTTCTGTTCTCTTTTTAATGGACAAGACTCTGCAGCTCAGGCCAGGCCTCAAAAAAGCAACCGATCACTGTGCGGTGGATTCCTAACCTGTTCTCATTTCCCTCCACCCTGGTTATATCTTTCATTACACGCAGGCATGTCAGGGATCCTCGACGTGTCACAATCAAACATCGTCTGGCCTTGGGCGTCTGTCTGTTCCTCATTCCCAGTCCGGGTTCCTAAAGTGGCTATGCTGTTTTCACCAGCTCGCCTCTGTTCTGCAGTGTTCCTGGCTGAACAGAGATGTTTCACGGGTTTGTCGGTGGGTGAGTTCCCACAGAAGAACTGTATCTCTTCTCTTGACAGGAAAGAAGAGAGACAGTGGCCCCCCGAACCTGGACTCCGCAGACAGACAGAGCCAATACTAATCCTCTCTCGGCTTCTCGTGAGTCACTTAATCTCCCAAACCAAAATGTAGGCGCCTGTCAAATGAGCGTAAGACTTACTTTGAAGCTGTTTGAGGATTACAGGCCTGGGGAATGTTGGTGGATCAGCAAACGCTTGCCTTTTTTTTTTTTTCCTGTAAAAATAACGTGTGCAGGCCGGTCTGCAAAACAGGCTCGCCAACCAGGGGGAGCCCGGTTTCCTCTTGTCCCCAACCCTTAAACCCGTCTCAGTGCCTTTGTGGGTGTCCCTGCGGACTGTGCCATCTGGCCGTTTGGGGGACAAAATGCCAATCAAGCTTCCCTCTGTTGCAGATATTAACTAGCTACACAGAGTTGACCCCTGGAGTCCCCTGGACAGAAGAAGGCTGGCAGCCCTGGCTGGTGCAGTGAATGGAGGGAGGGTCTATGAACCCAGGGATCACAGGTTTGATTCCCAGTCCCGGCACATGCCTGGGTTGCAGACCAGGTGCCCAGAAGGGGGCATGTGAGAGGCAACCACACATCGATGTTGCTCTCCCTCTCTTTCTCCCTCCCTTCCCCCTGTCAAAATAAATAAATAAAATCTTAAAAAAAAAAAAAAAGGAGGAGGCTTGGAAAAATAGGTTTCCAGTTCCTCTAGGTCTAAGGTGCTTTGTAACAGGAGAGGTTTTCTGAGCTTCCAAAACTCCAAAGCCTTCTTTGATTAAGAGA